ACGTAAATAATTGAATTTAACAAACTAAAAACGAGTAGGGGGACCATTTTCCTTCAATCATTTTTTAGTCTGATCCATTCAGCCTTTACTCGTTAAACCTTATCTTTGACCTTATCTACGTTACGAAACAATCGGCATAAGTGGCACCGTAATAGCGTCACATGATCATTGCTAGAGGTCGGCAGTAAATAAATGAAAGAAAGAAAGAGACAAATAACAAAGCAAGTAAGAGGGCTTGTTGTTCTTCAATTATCTTTAACCTATTCGTAATACACAGACAGCACAATCAGACAGAAGTAGGTAGAGCCGGTGAGTCCTTTGTCCGCAATCGAGGACGGGATATAATCATTGCGTGATGGACAGAATAGGATACAATGTAACTAAAAGAGAAACCTGCACTGCCTGCTCCCCTGTCCAACGTAATCAAATGTAACTACAGAGCCACTGGCGATACCGGCGATTACAGCTCTGCCCATCAGACGGAATGAAGTTAGATCGACGCGCATCTTGGTAGAAAACCGTTACACATTATTACACATTATAGAATGCCGTTACACATTATTGATGATGCCCATTTGCATAATCTATACCAGAAAACTTTTGATCCATTTCATGGCGTCGAAAGCAACTTTGAACCAGAAACTCAAAGAATGTTTGAGGACATTATCGGTAAATGTAAATTCTACTCAGTTGATGTCAATAGATCTAAACCTGATGATCTAATAATTCACCAATGGTCAATTTTACACCTGAATGTCAGATCCATCCTCAACAATGAAAAGTTTGACTCACTCACAACATTTCTACACACAACTGGTATCAAATGGGATGTAATCTGTATATCTGAAACCTGGCTCAATCGTGATACTGAAAAACAGCGCACAATGGCTGGCTACTCTGCCTTCTTTGAAAGCAGAGTAGGAAAGGCAGGTGGAGGAGTGGCCGTTTACGTGCGCAACGATCGAGTCAAATCTTGTGTGAAGTTACAAACAGAAGGTCTGAGAGGTACAGAATCATTATTTATTAAATGTGAACTACCTTGCTCTAAGGTATTAATCATAGGACAGATTTATAGACCTCCAGGTGTATGTCAATCCGAGTTCATTGACTACATGGACACCATTTTAGAATCACTTACACGAGCTCAAACCAATTGCTCATGCATAATTGCAGGTGATTTTAACTTCGACCTTTTCGACCTTGACAACGATGACTCTACCCGTGACTTTTTTAATCTCCTTACATCGTACGGATTCCTCCCATCCATATGTAAGACAACAAGGTATGGAGAAAAAAAGTGGTCACTATTAGACAACATATATTGTAATAATATAGAAATTGTAAACAGCTCTGGAGTGATCAATGATGATCTGTCAGATCATTTTCCTGTGTTCCTCACGCTCAGCATCAAAAGCGTTGAGCGAAAACTGCAAAGGGAAGAAATAAAATCTTTCGACTACAGGAAAATTGATGCCCTTAAAACACACCTTCAAAATTCATTACATGGATTCACTAATGTAACAGACCCGAACATTGCCTGTGAAACTTTACTACAAGCATACACAACAGGAATAGATAGGTATAGCATTACCTATAGACCCTCTAGGAAAAATACACCAATTAAACCGTGGATCAGTCCAGGTATTTTAGCATCAATAAACTGTAAAAATGTATTGTTTCTACAAAAGAACAAATATCCCAATCGAGAAAACATATCCACATATAGCAATTACAGAAATGCCCTTAATAATATTCTAAGGGAAGCAAAGAAAATGTACATCAAAAACGAATTAAAAAATGCAAACCCTAAGAAAACGTGGGATATCTTAAGAAAGATAACGAAAGGTTCATCTGGCCACTCAGCTTTGCCAAAATCCTTCCATACCGCAGATGCGAATGTCGAAGGGCCTCAACAAATAGCTAATGGATTTAACACATTTTTTTCTAATGTTGGTAAGCAGTTAAGAAATAAAATACATCGAAATGATGTAGATCCAACAAATTATATACCTGTATTTACAGGGAATAGCCTGGATTCCCTATCACTCACTAATGAACAGGAAATTACCAACATCGTAGACAATATGAATAAGGTCGGTGGAGGCCATGAAAGATAAATACTAGAATATTTAGAGCAACTTATGCCTCAATAATGCCAGAAATCGTACACTTCATGAACCTCTGTCTGCAGGAAAGTACTTTTCCTAAACTCCTAAAATTTGCTATTGTTAAACCAATTTTCAAAGCAGGCAATAATCAGCATTTTAATAACTATAGACCGATATCCCTTTTACCGGTGATTTCCAAACTATTGGAAAAACTTCTACATACTCGTTTTAACGATCATTTAGTTACAAATGGTATTATTAATCCACACCAGTTTGGATTTAGAAAAGGTATGAGCACGTACATGCCAATATCACTCTTACAAGAAAAGATTGTAAGTGCTCTTGAACTAAACCACATTGCATGTGGGCTTTATTTAGATATCCGAAAAGCCTTCGACACGGTGAACATAGACATTTTATTAAACAAAATCAAGTGTTATGGAATAAAAGATAAGGCGTACGATATGATATCATCGTATTTGAACGAGCGAGCTCAATGTGTTCAAATAGACCAAACAAGATCTAAAACAGTATCAATAGATATGGGAGTCCCGCAAGGATCTATCCTGGGACCGCTCCTGTTTATTTTATATATAAACGATTTTCCGAACATTAGCAAGGATTTTACTGCATATTTGTATGCAGATGATACAGCAGTCTTCATGGAGTGTGAAAATGAAGCAGATTTACAAAGTTCCATCGATGCCATTATGCCCAAGATATCCGAATGGTTTTCTGCAAACCAGCTATCAGTTAACACAGATAAAACCTTGTACCAAATATATTCAAACAAGAAAAACAGACAGGATGTAATGCTGAAACTAGGAGGTGTCGAAATTCAAAGGACTGGAACTGTTAAATACCTTGGAATGTTTATTGATGAAGATATGAAGTGGAACACACACATTAACAAGCTATGTACCGTGCTGTGTAGAAATGTTGGTATGATTACCAAAGTAAAATATTTTCTAAGCAGTGACCATTTGTTACTGCTTTACAATGCTTTGTTCTTATCGTATGTCAATTACTGTTGCTTTATTTATAGTAATACATACTCATCAAGCTTGTCAAAAATTGAAAAACTCCAAAAACGTGTTATAAGAGTTATAGATGGTCAGCCGAAGATGGCACATGCTGATCCAATTTTCAAAAAACTTAAGCTTCTCAAGATAAAAGACATTGGAAATCAGCAAATGCTGCTCATCTTGCATAGAAAAATATGCAATAATCTACCAGATGGAATAGATCGGATGTTCAGATTTCATCCCATCGGCAGAAGCAATCGCTCTGCTAGACATTTTGAAGAAATATTTACTTACAAAAAGTACAAAACGCAAACAATAGCATGGACTGGACCTAGAGTTTGGAATGAAATTATAACCCCCCTGTTTCCTCAAATTCAACATGTACCTCCTTCCAAACATACATTGAAAAGAATTGTAAAAGAGCGTTTAATTAATAAATACTGAGTATTGATAAACGCATTACTCGCAGCCCGCAGGCGATGTTTTTGACTTCTCATCCTATACCTACGCTACCATGCCTATGGTAATGAATATGTATATTTGCCTAGATACGTATACAAGTGTCTATAATGTATGTAGTATGTATATGTATAATTGCTTGTGCATGTATTTGTACGTAAGTGTGAATGTTTATGATCTTAGGTGCGTACCTACATTGATTAGGTACGCCCCGTGCAGTGTACATTGTGACAATTGACAAGTGTGTAATGAGTAAGTGTATGACATTCTGTTCATGCCTACTCTTGTGCATAATGGCATTTAATTATGTTGAACTAAGTACACACAAGTGTGTAAGAGAATGAGAATGGACCTTGTTGCACACCTACACTGTTGGGTGTGCATCATGGCATTTTATCATGTTTGAATTGAGTACACACAAGTGTGTAAGAATATGTGCCTAAACTAGGGCGCATACCTACATTGGCTGGGTTGCATGATATCATTTATTTGTGTAAATGAGTGTGTAAGTGTGATGTGTGCATGATACTGTAATATGCCACCCCATCTGTTTGGCGGCCTGGGACCTTGGAGTGCCCGGCAACAAGCCTCGCTTCGTTGGGTGCTCTGGGAGCCCGGGCTACCTTGCTGCTGACATGCGCTGAATTTGACCAGAGTTTGATGATGACTTGGCTATGACTGTGGATCCCCCTCTAACTAACCTGCCCCAGTGGACTTTGACACTTTCCCCGGCGTGTGTGGGTGTTGTGAGTGTGATGGATGTGTGAGTGTGCTGATAAATTGGGGGCTTTCAGTAGTGGGCAGTCACCACTGATTGCAGTGTTGACTACTTTGCTTCTTTTTTGTTCCCCTAATTCGTATGGCTTTCTCCCTTCTGCTTTTTTATGTTACATTTCATTTCCTAGCAGGGAGTGCCGCGACTTGCAATTTTAAGTTATTATGGTGTTAACGTAAGGTTCTGTGTGTCGCTGGGATAGAGGGAGGGGGCACTCCTGGTCACCTGATAATGGGTGGCGGCATAGAAAAAAAAAAAAAAATCTGATCTGAGAGGCTGCGTCCACCCATCAGACGAGTGGCCACAGCAGTGTGTGCCCTCAGCAGTCATAGCAACTGCACGGAGAACAGGCACGGAGCGGCGGTGGTCACTGGTCGATGCAGACGCGTGTGTATGTTCATTAACGAAGCAGCAGGCGAGTCGGGCGCGGTAAAATGCCAGTCCCAGAACACAGAACACAGTAATATCGTGCTCTAGCACTGCACTGACGTGGCCGGTGCTGCTCTAACGATTTATTCACATTCAAACTGTATGTGCCGCGGGTTTCAGACTTCTAGTGGCGCCCGGAATGGCAGTGTATCACGAACTTGCGGGACTGTGAATCTGTGGAACGGCGACATAAAATACGGTAGGTCAGCACTGATTGCGCATATATTACGGAGCGGATACGCGCCAGTACACATACACATACGCACACACGCACACAAACGCAGACGGGGCGCTCTGAACATCGGGGCGCCACTCGGCGGAGGCTGGATATGGCACCGCGGCGCGGCGGCGCCGGCCGCTCGTCCCGGCCCGGCCGCGCTGAACACCCACACGGCGCGGCGGTGTCGGCCCAGTCCCGGGGCGGCGCTGGACGCCCCTCGATCCGCGGCGCCCGGCCGGCCGCGGCCGCGACTAGGAGGCGCGGCCGGTTCGCGACCTTTGTACTGAGAGGAGCCTGAGAGAGGGAGACGCGCCGCGCGGCCGGCCGGCGACTGCTACCGCGTCGGTCGGTCTGCGCCGCTCGCCGGCGGCAGTGGCAGCTCGAACAGCATCTCGGAGGAGGGAGGGACGCCGCCGCCGGCCGGTGCGCCCGGTGACGACAGCAGCACGCGCGACAGCGGCGCCGGAGAGCTGACGGGCGCTGCCGGCGGCGCGGTGAGCAGCAGCGCCCCGGAGCGCGGCGGCGCCAGCGAGGCCAGCTCCACCATGCTGTAGCGCGGCTGGCCGGTCGGCGAGGTGAGCAGGAGTCGCGGCGGCGGCGGCGCCACCGGCCGCGCCGAGGCCGGCGGCATCACCATGCTGCAGTTGGCCAGCAGCAGCTGGTTGATCTGCGCCAGCTCCTGCTGCTGCTGCGAGATGCGCTGCTGCAGCTGGTGGTGCTTGAGCAGCAGACTGTCCTGCACCTGCAGCTGCGTATGGGTTACCGCCGAGCGCTGCGGCGCGGCCACCAGTTGCTGCTGCGGCTGCTGCTGCTGTGCCTGCTGCTGCTGAGGCTGCGCCTGCTGCTGAGGCTGCGCCTGCTGCTGAGGCTGCTGCTGCATTGGTGCCGGTAGCGGCGGCGCCGCGTGGTGTTGCCGGTATTGCTGCTGTTGCCTCTGCTGCTGCTGCTGCTGCTGTTGTTGTTGTTGTTGCTGCTGCTGCTGCTGCTGCTGCTGCTGCTGTTGCTGCTGTTGCCGCTGTTGCTGCTGCTGCTGATATTGTTGCTGCTGTTGATGATGCTGCCGTTGCCGCCGCCTCTGCTGCTGCTGCTGTTGTTGTTGTTGCTGCTGCTGCTGCTGCTGCTGCTGCTGCTGCTCCGGTGTCACAGTCTGCTGCTGTGGCTGCTGCATCACCTGCACACAGTGCAGCCCCAGTGGACTGGGCGCACCCTCCGACTTGCAGAGGGGCCCGCCGCCAGCCGGCTCGGCGGCCGCGCTCGCCAGGTACAGGCTGTCAGCCGGTGAAACGGCCTCGTAGCTGGCGCAGGGCGAGGCGACCGTGGCCGGCGGCGGCCCGCTGACCGCCGGCGACCACAGCGGGTCAGCGTCAGTGAGCAGCTGCGGCGCCGGCGCCGGCTGCGGCGTGGCGCAGCGGGGCCGCGGCTGCTGGGCGCGTACCTCGGCTAGACTCACCGCCGAGTGCGTGCACACGATAAACTCGGGCTTCGAGTTCCACTGGTGGTAGGTGATGTAGTACTTGGTCTGCAGCCACAACCACTTCTGGCCCTTGGTGAGGAACCGGTAAAAGCACGAGGTTCCCTGGCCGACCCTCATCAGCTGCTCGTGGCAGTCGGCCACCCCGTGCAGGTCGTCCCCGTGGTAGTAATCGTACACAGACGTGCCCAGAACCTCCATAGCCGAGTAGCCTATCAGATGGGACGCCCGATGGTCCAGGAACAGAAACTTCCACTCGAGACTGTGCCGGGAGGAGAACTCGCGGCGTCCGTTGTCACTCGGCGTGAGCACCAGTTCGCGCACCAGCTGGCACGTCCGCAGCCGGCAGATGCCGATATAGACGGCGCCGGCGTGGTCGCCGCCGCTGCCCGCCGCGCCGGCCGCCGTCGGGTGCACGTGGCCGGCGAGTTGCACCAGCTCGTACTGCGGAGCGGCGCCCGTCGAGCCGCCGCGCCGCAGGTGAAGCATCACGGAGAATCGGCCGCGCTGGCCGCCGTCCTGCGCCGGGGCGTCTCCCCGGCTCAGCAGGTCGTACAGCGCGGCACTTTGTTCCGCGGGCATCAGTTCGTACAGCGACTGGAACAGCACGTCCTCGGGCAGCAGCGACAGTAGCGACGCCACGTTCTCACTCACGTACAGGATCTTCCCTAGCCGGTTGAACGCCAGAATGAACGCGTCCAGACCTTCGAGCATGAGCTGCGTGAACTCATCACTCGTCAGAAAGGACGGCTTCCACTCCTCGCGAGTATCATCGTCTCGGCTGCGCGCTGACGTCTCATTGTGCGCGCGCAGGAAGCCGATGGTGGCGCGCAACACTGCCGATTTGTCCATTTTGCGGCTGGCGCCGCCCACCAGTCGCGAAAGCTCATTGACGAGCACATTGAACTGGTCGCGACGTTTTTTCTCGTTGGTGTTGCGCGACTGCCGCTTGGTCTCATCGCGATCGTCGGCGTCCGAGCAGGACATGTCTGCCGGCGCGCCCGGCGGAGAGACGGCCAGCCGGCGCTCAGCCCATCCGGGCCGGCGACGGCGCTCTCCGGCGGCGCCGGTCCGCGCCGTGCCGGCCTGCGCGCGCTGCACCGGACGCCGGGCCCCGCCGCGCGCCTACACTGCACTACGGTGGCCGGCCGGCGGCGGGCTCACTGATCACCGGCCGGCGGCCGGCGCGCCAGCGAGACCGACACGCGCTGCATCCAGCTCTGGTCCAGCGTCTCCAGCTGCGCCAGAAACTCGTTGGTCATCAGCTGGTGGCACTGCTCGGGGGACAGGCCGGACGCCGTGCCTGCCGGAGACAGAGACATACAGTCAGGATAATGTATAGTACGGTCTGTAGGGCGGGCAGGGAGGGGAGAGAATGGGGGCCTGCTGGGCACACAGATATACTATACAAGCACGGTATAGCATAGTACGAAATGTATGTCGAGCGGGACTGAGGGTCGGGGTCTGCCGAGCATACAGACATACAGTCACGGCACAGCACAGTTCATTTACAGTGCACTGCAGAGCGGACAGATGGGCGGGGCTGGGGTAGGGCCTGTGACTCGGGCGGGGTATATGCTGATGCCGGACTGGGTACGCCAAACAGATTCAGCCATTGGCACACACACGGCCACGGCCACAGTTCGCTCTGTGGGCGGGCCGGGCGTCGCGGGCCGCGGGGAGGGGCCTTATGGCAGCAGAAGGTCAAACAGAGGCACCCACTGACACACAGTCATGAGAACGTGGCCAGTCGCGCGCGATAACTCGCTTATGTAACCGATAAGACGCGCCACGGACTCCACATAGCAAACACAGTACAAAGTCCCCGGTGCGAGTGTCCCGCGGAGGCGGCTGTGCTCGCCGCTCGGACACCATAGGCGACTCCAGTGACCCCGAGGCCGGGACTTAGCGATGCAGCTAAGAACAGAACGGGATCAAAGTTGGGGAAACTTCTTTTGAGTATTTAACTTTTGCATACGAGAAAAAACAAGGAGTTATACAACACGTTCCAAGAGGTTGGTGTTTTTAGCTTAACCGCCGAAGATAAGCAGTCAGACATTTTTAGATCAAGTCACTGAAGTTGAGCTGTGTTCTTTCCAGAATATTCAAAACACCTCATTTTATGAAAATGTTAGCAGCATAACTGGCGGGCTTCTACTGGCTTTAGCAAAATTTTACATTACCCTAATGCAACGATGCTTTTGTGCTACTGCTATGAAATACAGTAGGTGTTCGAATAAAATTCAACCATAACCGCTATGTTGAATAGATCGATATATCACCCAGTCAAGTAATCAGGTACCTAATGAGGGAAAATATGAGGTCATTTCTCATTTCTGTTTCTGTTTTTACCGATACTGGTATAGCAGAATGGCACGGATGCTCGCAAGTCGCAAATAACAAAGAGCTGTATACGTAACGCGACACATGCAATATGTGCCAATAGCAATGAGCAACAGGCTACCGGACTCCGGAGCCACCCTTCGCTGCAGCCAGTCGAAGCCAGCAGATGCGAGTCAGCCACAGCCAACACCGGCCAACGCAGACACAGCGAGCCACGGGAAACCAAAAACCAGCCCCAGCCATGCGCCGTCAGCCAAGACGTCCAGGAACCAGCCACAGCCTGTCGAGCCACCGAAATCCTTTCGGCACCGCCCCCGCCGCGCGCGGCAGCGTCCGATTCCGTGAGACGGTCGTGCCATGCCTGGCACGAACCCGGGGCGGGACCCGAGCGCCGCCACATAGTAACCTCTAGTTACGAGATTCGCCGCTAGGGAAGGAACGAAAGCGACTTCAGCATTCTGGACACGCTTACTAGGTATGCATCATCACACCCTTGTCATTGACGTGGACGATGTGTTTGAATAAAGCACACACGTAACCTGAGCTTCACCTGTTGATCTGACATTCCGTTTTTGAGTCATGTTCTTTAATTAAGTGTTTTGTCAACAGAACGCGAAAACTCTGTGAGCGCTGTGGTCGTGAGCCCGACTCGCCCAGTGTGATGGACGCTTGCCAGCATACTTCAGTCGGTCTCTGAGGTTTGAGAGGAATCCCCCAGTGCGGGCAGAGTCTCTCCTGACCTCAGCACTGGACAGGACAGCTCGAGTACCTGATCACCCTCAGAACCACAGGCACGCGCCGGTACCCACACGAACCCATTTCGAATGGCTGCAGACAGGTGTCAGCTCGAGGGCGGAAAGGCGTGATTTATCGCCACACGCTCGGTATTTGTAACCGTACCACACAGCTGAGCCAGGACTGAGGACGACCCGTAATGCAATAGATAGATACGGACAAGAGCACCCTGGTACTGGTCCAGGACCATAAACTGACGTTCTGAAAACTTTCTCTGGTTCCAGGGTGGTATCTACATATGAACCGAGGACTGGGCACGTTATCAGGCTGTGGAGTAGGACGTACGAATTCAGATAGACTGAAAATAAAGTATTGGCCAGAGTCCGTAACTCAGGTGCGCCAGATAGGAAGCCAGCACACGCCGCATAGCACAGCGCACGGGTACAGTCCACAGCAGAAGTAATGTGGGGTTTCAGTCATGGGTACCTATGTTCTGCTTCTGAAGCTTAGGAACGATTAGCCAGACTAAAATGAAACTTTGAATGTAGCTTATATGTATCGTCACCCTTGCAGCTGCAACTTTAGCTATTGACATCTTCTTTTCGATCACTCCGCATTAAACAATCGCCAGTCAAAGCCAACCGTTGAGATTGGTAAAACCCTACATTACTTTAGCGGTGGGCTGTACCTACCAGGCGGGGCGCGCTAGCCAACCCAGACTGTGACTGTACTCGGGTACCGGGGTACAGCAAGACGATATCCGTGAACTCAGCCGGTTATGCAACTAACCGTGCCCGAGTCCCATGGGGACAGACAGGGGTACATGAACCCAGCACCGACTGCAATGTGGTCGTGAATAGCATGACATGCATAAGTCAGGGGGCAATGATAAAATCATAGTTTGACGTCAATATTGCCGCTGTTAAAAATCCACAGTGCATAATAATTGGGTGCCTGCGGACATGAATGAAAGAAACAAATTGTAACGGCATAACGATTCGCTATTAGCCGTGCACCACGCCATTTAGCATGCAGCGGACAGGCAACCGGGCAGACCTCACGGAAATCACGCAGGAGCGCGGGGGGGGGGGGGCGCCGGCGGTGGCGTCACCGACCTGAATAGGCGGCGGCCGCTGACGTCATACGCTTACGTCAGAGGTTCGCTCGAGTTGACGGCTGTGTTGGCGATCGCCAAAGATACGGACCACGAACACAAAAGTCGAGATTCCAACAGTAAGAAACGGCCAACTTAAAGGGACTGTCCCACCTTCAAAAAATTGCTTTGATATACTGTTTTTGTGTTGCAAGACATAGATTAGGGGCCCCTGTACACGAAATTGGCAAACATTCGGCCCATAGTTGGCTAATTGTTTAAAAATTCCAATTTAAAGCTTTTGGATCGATTACGTCATATGATTGTTTTTTTATCGGGCAAAGTTTTTTCCTAGCTGCCAAACCGGTGGCACAAAGTTTTGTTACGCTTCTGCCGCGAATAGTACAAACATTGCGCATGAAATCAAAACTCAGGAAATTGTAACATGCAAAGTAACGCAAACATGTTCAATGTTCATGGAAAGGATTGAAATGAAAATTGGAAAATTGAAGCTTGAACTTTGTCAAGAAGAAGGTCGCAAACTGCAAAGAATATCAACAAGGCCTTATTTATCATTTTTAAAAGATTATAGAATGCTCCCTAATAAGCAAAAGCAAGATATTGATGTTGAAGTTGTTGAAGTTGAAGTTGTAGTGAGCTGTAGTAGACTAGGTCTATTCAGTGCTCACATCGAGCCGGACTAGGAATGAGGTCATGTGAGGTGATGTTTGATTATTGATGCTGCCCACAATGTCTTGGGCACATGGATGATGGAAGTGAGCTCAACTTCAATAATCATACCTAAGAATCACAATGGATATAGCCATGAGCCAGACTGCAAAGTATGGCAATTTTGTCCAGATGTTGTCAGTGCAGACTCCTTCGTCTGGTGCGGATTTAAGTGTGGTGCGGTGTGGATTTGGTTTGGTGTGGTGCAGATTTAGTGTAGCGGGGTGCGAAGTGTTCTCTCAGCCCCCTTTGGTGTGAATTTTCTGGCTCAGTTTGCAGGGTTTGTGTAAATTTTGAACTTAGGCCAGTGCTCCTTGGCAACCTGCGAGCCATACTCTGCAGTACTGGCCTGGGCCCATGAGCAAAGTAATATAATATAGTCTGTTCAAGATTCAATATAATAAGTCTGCAAAACACATTCCAGCAATTGTAATTGAAGCAGAATGAATTGTAGTGACCTGCATTTGTATTTTTGTTGTGTCTGTGAAAAATAATAAATATACCTACTTATTGGAAAAATCGTGGCCTTTCAGCACATTTGGCAGAGTTGTGTGACTCTGATGTAGTGGCTCATGTGGAACGCAACGAGCTGCGGAACAAGCTTGAATAGCATTTTGCCTCAGGGCTATCTGCCAGAAACATTTCATCTGCATGAATTTATCTACAGGCAAGTCTGACAAATTTGTGGATTAACTGGGGACCTTGTAAGCCTGCATATTAAATTCTAGCCTGCCAGCTCAGCCCTATCCTCAGTTTCAGCATTCAGCATGATAACAGTTCTGATCAAGTTCTGATTGTCACCACTGAGACACCAATGGAGTCCTCTGAAATTTTGCCTTTTAATTAAATTATTTGTAAGAGTTTCAAGCTATATTTAGACCAAACATTTCACTCTCAAAGATCTGCGACCTACCCCACTCGTCCAGTAGGATGCCTGGCGCGCAAACAGTCCAGCAGTGAGCTGCCAACTGGCACGCAGGGCAGCAGCAGGCAGTGGCAGCAACGGCAACTGGTGAACACGTCTTGGACTGCAGCCACGACATAATCTAGGCTAGCGTCTATTCAATTTGTCCATGTACAAGTCCCACAGCTCCTGCCCGAGGTGCCCGAGGTTGCGCAAGTCAGGGAACTGACCACCTCCAGCCCAGGCGTGGTTCACTGACTCAAGATATTTCAACTGACCAGTCAGAGTTCATGTTTTGCAACTTTTATCCAAGTTATTTGTAATTGTAATATTCTAAACTGAATTTTAGGCATGACTTCATTTTTCAAGAGCTACAAAGAACACACCTTCCCTGTGCAGCACGTCTATTGTCCTAACATTAGTCACATAGTTGCAAGAAGCGACTTGAATGCGGAACCTGCCTGTTTTGAAGCCCTGTTGTCTGTTGGGTGACACTGCA